GTGTCCACCTTCAATTGGTCAATATCCAAATTGACCTTTTCCTCCCAGAAAAATTATTTTTCTGTGTCAAACCACGACACCAAGGATAGGTGTACTTTGAAATACTTCTAAAGAAAGAAGAGTAGTGAACATCACAACCTGGGCAGATTCACTGAGATCTTTTATCCCCCCTTCCTTGTTTACCTATGTTGCAGACTGGTAGCACAACCCAAACATGCCTTCTAGGCTTTGTTCCAACCCAAACTGTACCCAGTAATTCAGAGTCACCAAACACCTACTGCATGAGTTATAGCTTTGGAAAATATTTGCATTTTAACTTGAACGTGTTCTCAATCTGCACCTGGGTGATTCTAAAGCACCCAAAAAGCAAAACACACTTAAATCACAATTTTCACTAAATGACAATACCAACTTGATTTTAAAACTGACATTCTGAATGGCTCAAGAGAGATCAAAATATTTCAAAACTGAAAAAAAATTGTAAGAAAAAACTCTACACAGATATGCAGAAAATCATGTCAATTTTGATTTTTAATAAAGTTAGTTTAACATTTCTGTGTTTACTTCTGCCTTCTTGTTTTGCCTGGAATGAGAATCAAGAAAATAAGCAAAGTTTTCCTCTGTTTTGCATGGCACTTTCAGCCTGAATATACCAAGGGTATATTAGTACAAAACTTAAGAAAGCTTACAGCCATTTTCAAGGCAGAAGCACAAGAAAATATGCAGCAAATTAACTCCCCAACTTTCATTTTTTAGTATATGTATTATCAAGAGCATCTATAAGTAATTCTAAGTTTGCATTCTGTCTATAGTCTGAATAGAAATATTTATGCAAGTATAATAGTCAAATCAAATCATAAGAACACTCTGCAAAGGAAAAGAATTCTTGCGTTTCTAGAATCTTGCAAATTACTCTCTCACTTATTAAATTGTCTAAATTCTTAGAAGGTTCCTGGTACCATCACTTTAGCATTTTCTTTTTCTTCTTAGGAATCTGTAAGTTCCACTAAAGGAAGCAGAGCAGTGTTTATTGCAGTGGAAGAATAATTTTAACGGACCTGCATATTATAATTGCTTTTGGTGAAAAGCTGTGTAGAAAGGAGACAAGCATAGAAGTGCCAAGGAAGCAAAAACTTCTTAGATTTTCCATTATTATCTTCTGAGGGCACTTTTAAAAGCTAATTTAAAACTACATCTGGCCTGAGGGTATTTTATTTTCAGAACCCATCTTGGTCATGTCCAGAAAACCCTGATGAAGTTAACAAGATTGCACAGTCCATGGAAAGGAAAAATAAATTGTTGACAGAAAGGAGGAAAAGGAGGAACTTACATCTTAAATAAATTTGACATTAATTACTAATCACAATTCATTTTGTCCACGTTACCAAAAACATATCCATTTACAAATTTGTTGGCAGCCTCAGACAGGCCAAAGACCAAAAAAGCATGGAAACTGGACAAATATCACAGCTCTGCAGGTGGCCCCTCAAAAAAACAAGGAAGTTGATGGTATTTCCATTCTTGTTGTGTGCACTCCTAATGCAAGATAGGAGACATCCATTTCCAGAGCTGCCAAGGCTAATCAAGCTTCACCTCACTAAATTTACCTTCCAAAAAATGCCCTAACCTCCCTCCTCTTCCTCTTCTACACATAAACACTTTTCAGAGCCTTAAATGTATTGCCTCACATTCACCTTCTGGTAAAAGGGGAAAATAACAACCCAGCAATTCTCTTTAAAGTCAGAAAAAAGTATTAATTCTCACTAAAATGGTAACAAATGATTGTGAGAACTTGTGGATAAAATATGAACCAGAACAAAATCAGCAAAAACAAATTAAATTTAGATCCAGCTGTGTGACAGTTTAAGATGATTC